GTAAAAATCGATAAGTCGATAGTTCGATAGCCGAAACCACAAATGCCCAAATTTAGAGAAACTTTTGACACAATACAACAACACCTGGAACAAATCGAACTTACAAAATCCGAACAACACAAAATTTAATTATATAATAATTTCATCTGTGCCTTTCTCTATGAATATATACATCGATATATATACATATATTGAGCTCTATGTATATATATACACTAAATACAAATCATGATATATACTTAACTACTATACTATATATTATATATATACATATATACTTCACATGTGCTCTTCTTTACAAACTCTTCCTCTTCCTCCGTCAATGCATATATCGATAATGTATCGATGACACTCAGTGTCACACAGAGGCAGGAAACTGCTCAGATATCTTTTGTTAAGGCTTTCTCCTACTCTCTCCATCTCTCTCTCTCTCTCTCTCTCTCTCTTACACTCTCCCTCTCTCTCTCTCTATCAAATAAATCGATTACTTATCGATAGCACAGCTGAGAGATTCAGTTTCTTCAACAAATTGAAACGAACTGCTTTATCTGTGTAGACTCTTAGCAAGCAGTTTGACTAGCTGTTAAATATTTAACATGCACTTTGCATGTGCCAGAGCTTTTATCGACTTTTCAGTCTCTTGTTGAATTTATGTTTAGGATTTGATTGCCTCCGGCTCAGACTTGCTGTTGGGCTTGACACGAACTGTAACTGTGAAGCCAAATTACGATATGTTAGGATGTGGTGATGATAATATGAATAGCAGACGAACCCACACACACACACACACACACACACACACAGAGACAATCTCTCTATCGCCCTCTCGCTCATTCTCTCTCTCTTCCTCACTCAAACACTGTCTATAGTCTCATCTGCTTCTGTTTGACATTTGTTAGCTAAACTAAAGTTATTAAAAAACAAGAGATAAAAGCAAAACCATTTTTTTTTTGTCTTGTTGATTAATAATTAGGTAAAAAAAGGCAGTAAAAAATTAGACAAAAAAACGCATATGCAGAAAAACAAAATTAAAAAAGAAATATATAGAAATTTGAATTTAAAAAGAAAAAACATATATATATATAAATTTGCTTTTAGCCAAAACAAATAATCAAAAAAGAAAAAAAAATAATTATGTAAATGTTGAAAAAAAAAAAAAAAAAAAAAAAAAAGGGAGAAGAAGAAGCAATGAATTGAGCACTCGACGGCTACAATGGCTTCGCTACTTGGCTTTGCTCAATGGCGCTTGACGAATTACAGACTACAAAATGCTCTTATATAGTATATATGCACATATTGAGAATATGTATATGCATATATATATATGTATATTTGTGTGTGTATATTTCCATGGCACGGTACTCCCACAGCAACGCCTCAGCAATTCGCTATTTAAAGTATTCAACGCCTTCGAGCCGGCAGACTCTCTCTCTCTCTCTTTCTCCCTCTCTCTCTCGGTGGGCAACGAACTCGAGAGTGTTGTCGAACCCAAGACCCACCCACAAATAGATGCCCACTGGGGTGGCTCCACTGAACTAGTAAACAAACCAAAATACACAGCTGGCTCTTTATCCACATAAATCATAGCGCCCCCCCTCGACAACAATAAAAATCGATGTGACAACAAATATAAATAGAAAATTCAATGCGAAAATGTGTGAGTGTGAGTGCTTCTCCCTCTGTGTGTGTAAAAGCTGCTTTCTATCTGTTGCCCCGCGTTGAGGGCGTTAACAACTCGAAAATAGACACAAATCTTTAAAAGTCAAAAGCGGAAACTTGGGGATCATTGTCGCAAATCAAGAGATCTACACAGAGCAGAGCCACTGGAAATATGGAGCTCTGTTTATTTCTATCTGTGGCAGCGGGCCGACAGATTGCTTTGAGCAGAGGGCGTCAATAGGTCGATCAAATAGAGGCGAGTCGCTAGAGTCTCAAGAGGAAGCTAACAAATCAGGCGAGTTGGGTATTGAGGCCGTTAATAACTTGAAAATAGCTCCGAAATGGCTTTCGAATCCAGAGGAAGCTCGCCTAATCAAACGATTTGTGTGCCCCCTAGAAAATTGAGTGTGAAATGAAAACTTTGAGCGATCTGGCGTGCGTTTTGCTCTGGCCCAAATTTCCAGTTTACGTTACGAGCGCGACTTTGGCTAAGAGAGCCGCATACAAGTTGCTCGCTCTTACTCTCTCTCGCTCTCTTCTAATGCAGCGACACACCTTGTTCTGCATCACTGTTGTGCGGGGGACGGGGGCGTTGAGCTAAACTTGCCTCAGACTCTGGCTATGCTCTGGCTCTCTGCTTGAATTCAGGTTTTTCACACCGTTTTTCATGTTTAGGCCGTGTGCTTGCATGTGGCTAAGTCGTTTGGCTGTGGCTCGCCACAGTTTATTATAATTTTTGTTATATGTATTTTTTTTTCTCGTTCGGCTCGCACAGTTTGGTCCGTTGTACAGTTATTAGCATTTGCTTTGCTCGTTTCGTTTATTTGTTTGTCTGTTGTGCGGCCAATTTCTTGGCCAACTAATAACCGGTTTCTAATGCAACTTCTTGCGCTGTCTGTCTGCCACTCTTTGAAGAGAGAAAGAGCGACTCTTGGAAATGCATTGCTGTGCCGCTCGTTAGGCTATTTGGGTCAAACACTCTGTTCCAGATCCAATCCGAGCCAAGCTCACTCAAGCTAAGCCAAGCCACGTCCGCGTCTGCTTTCTATCAGATTTTCCACTGATTGTGAAAATCCATTTGGCTTTGGATGACGCATGGGAGCTTCGCCTGAAGAGTCACCTGGCCCATTCATAACTTACAGATACCCTCGAATATTTGCGCAGAATCTTATCAGTTCAGCTATGTGCGTGAGTAATGCAGACCTTATCACTAGCCTAACGTATGTACATAGTACAATGGCCAGAAAGCTTCGCAGACTGCCTTCTGCGCGCTCAGCCTTGATATCACAACTGAATTGCCAAAAGGGCGAAAAAAAAAAAAGCACAGAGCAGAGCAGCGAGCAGTTGATAAGGAAATAACCTGCTCAACGCGATCAATTTCCAAGGCAGCAGAGACCGCTACGGCTGCTGCCTTTGGTTTATTTTGGTGCCAGTGACGTCGACGTCGGCGTCGGCGTCGTCGCAGTTGTTGTTGTCGCCAATCTTACACTAGCTGCGCGTTAATATTTCTCTACTACTACTTATATAAATATGTATGGACTTTTATCCAGAGCGTAAATACTTGTCTGTGTCGCATTTCATAATTTCAATCGTAATGAGTTTAATGGGGGAAGGTTGCATGGATACAGCAGGCAATTACGTACAGTATACGTTCGACAAAAGAACTAAGCATAAACATTTATATAGCTAAATTTAGAAAATTACGGAAATTTATTAAAATTAATATTTCTCTCACTCTCTACTTATGATCAACAATACTTTTGATTCTACTCTGCCTTAGCATATATTTTTATGTGAATAGTTTATGGTAGAGTGCCTTTACTGTATTTGTGTCTGATACGGCATGTGTTGAATGTTTTGAATGTGTCTCCTTGACTACGCGCCATTCCGGTTGCCAATAAGAATTTCTCAACTTTCAGCCCCTGCTCAAAAAAAAGAAAACAAAATGCGAAACAACTGAGAAAAACACAAAATGCGACAAAAGAGGGAAATAGCAACAGCAACAGCAGCGGCAACAACAACATAAACTCGTAAAGTTTCAAAGGCAGCACAAAAGAAAATAAAAAAAAACGTACAAAAAGATACAGCTAAAGCTTGGCCAAAAAGCGACAACGTCAACGTTCTCGCTCTTACCCATTCACTCACTCACTCTCTTTGACAAACACACACTCTACAATGAGTGAGAGAGAGAGTGGCAAGCGCTGAGAGAGCGTTTAGCTTTAATGTGCGTGCTCGTATAAGTGGACGTGCGTATCTGTGTGTGTGTGCTATGAAGTCATACTGTTCTCGCTGTGTGTGTATGTCAAAAGCATAAAATAATTCGAAGACGGAGCAGGCAACCAAAAACTCTGACCACAGCCCAAAAAGCTGAAAAAAGACGACCCAAACAACGGGTAATGGCGCAATGCCGTTGGCTGTGGAGTAGCTCGAGATTGAGGAGAATGGAAGAACCTAATTAAATTGTAGTTGAAGTTGCCGTTACTTACGAGTAAGCTCTGCCTTGATATTCAGTTGTTAATCCAATCCACTGGAAGCGTTGAATACTTTGCGGCGCTTTTCCCACTTGTTTTCACTTTTCACATAAATCGCTTTGCAAATAATTTACACTCACACACACTTGCACGCGCAACAATACACATAAACAAATTCTTGGCCACTTTTTTCTATCGAACACGAAAAAAGACAATTTGTTACTGCTGCTGTTGTTGTTGTTGTTGCTGTTGTCGTCGTCGTTGAATACCTGTTGAAAATTGACGTTGAGTGAGTAATAGAGAATAGTAAAATTGAGAGTGAGCGCATTGACAGCGCGGGGTGTAAAACTAGGCGTGGGCGTGTGAAAACTGCATCAAAACGTAAAAGAATAACGAAACAAAACTTTTGTGGTTTTATTTATAACAACACAAATTTGCGCGCGAATTTCTGCAACTGGCACACAGATGCTTTGATTTTCTTTCTGCTGGCAAATTCTCTTGCCTGTTTTTCTTATATATGTACATATATATGTGTATATTTTTTTTATTGTTTTCCTATTGGCCTGCGACGGGGTATTTTCAGTTAACGTACCGTGGTAAAAATATTCGAAATGCTACGCACGAAGAGCAAACTGGTACTGAGAGATATTTATTTTATATTCAAGCGGCAGAGTCAACGGAACAACCACTGCCCCATTGGATTGAGTCAATCGAAGAGCGAGAGCGAGAGAGAGCACCAGAACGTACAACGTCACAGCTACGGAATGAATTCACGAGCATCCAGCTTTTGTCTGGCTTATGACTTGAGTGAAAAGATGTGGCAACTCTTTACTGCTCAACTGCTTCACGATCAAAGAATTTGGTGTGATTTTTTTTAACTACATTTATTAAATGTACAATCTACTTTAACGTTTACGATAGAGACACGGCTTTAGAGAGAAGGGCTTCAGTTTCACCTGCTTGTCCACATGTCGCATCTTACGAAATTGAAAGAAATAAAAGTAATTTACAGCCACGTCCTTTTTCACCAAGTCGAATCCACAGCTTCCCATAAAGCGCACAAATTCCCGCACATCTTCGAAACGGGATTGAATCTCAGCTATATGCACGATGCCATGAAGCTTCAGTACTCGATTCGCTTCCAGCAGATAATCATTCAGGTTGGTACCCATCAGCGAGAGACAGTAAACAGCCACGTCCAGGGATCGGGCTTCCAACGGTGTATTCGTTATGTTGCAGGCAATGATGTCCTCTCGCGTGGACACCAAATCCATGGAGTACACCTTGTTGGGCACTGACTGAGCCAGTTTACCGTCTCCGCAGCCAAAGTCCCCAATGATAAGGGTCTTCGACAATCTTTTGATGATCTTGATAATGCGCGCCAAGGGATTTGTGGGCCATTTCTCCACCTGTTGGCGATAGCCCGCATGATAAGCTTCAAAGGCTTCGTCGTCGTTTTTGAAAAGCTTCTCGGCCTTCTGGCTGTTCATTGTGTAGAGCTGTTCGTTAATATAGCGAAAACGTCCACCAAGCAACTCCGATTGCAACTTGTTGGCCAGCGTAGCAGGTGTAGGAGCAGCACTTACGACGGATGCGGAGGTTTCCATGGCCTCGACAGCGGCTCCAATCATAGCGGGTTTCAATTTTAGCTGCTTCTTTTTGTTATCCTTCGCAGTTTGAGTGACTGGCCGCTGTTTTTCAATCCGTCCCATTCTTATCTTGTGCATGGCACGCAGTCCATCGTCTGCTTCGTCGTCCGATGATTCCGCTGGCGGCGCGAGTGGTCCCTTGCCCAATCTGTAGCCTGTTGCAGTTGCGTTTGTGGAATTCGATTGGTCGGCATGCTTTTTCACCTTTGGTTTTTTCTTCTTTTGTTTTTTGGCTTTCGTTTTGCCAGTAGCTCCATTGCTCGCTACCTGCACTGGCTTGAATTTAATAACTTCAACACCGTTGTCCCATGGCGGAACCTCGAATGCCATTTTCATTAAACTTTTTCGGCTTTAAATCAAAACAAAGTCGGGCAACACGTGAAATTAAATTGTGTTGTTGACAGTGTGACCGTCTGCGACTTTGCTGAAAATGTCATAAAATGCAATTAGATCAATCTGGCAACACCTATTAACTGTGCTGCCAACTTATTGCCGACTAAGCGCGCGCATTTCGTTCAAATTCAAATCTCTTGTTTTAAATACTTTTATTTTTGCACTAAACTAAAGTTCAACAAGTTTTTTGTATTAATTTATAATTTTCGGTTTCTTGCTATTCACGTACAACTAATTAACTTAAAACATATATATAATATTTTTTTTTACAACTGAAGACAAATGTGCTGCTGGGAAAAATTGTTCTCTTAGGCTAAAATCGTAATTATGACAATCAGTTTCCGAACGTCTTTACAATGCAATCGTGTTTTAAATAGAATTATTTGTTATTTTTAGAAAATGCTTAATCTACTTTGTTTCCCAACAAACCATTTTTTCGCTCTCTCACACTCATTCAATCAATACTTTCACAAATTATTGAACTTTTTTGTTGTTTTTTGTTTCCAACGCTATTATTTTTTTTTTGTTTCAATGCAGTTCCGTTCCATTCATCAGTTACCAAACTACAAAAACATTGCGATTTACAATTGCTAAAACCTATGAAATTTTATTTAGTTACTAATAATGTTTAATTACGAATATAATTTATGCGTTTCGCCTCTGCTTTGACTTTCGCTCTTCAGCTCCATTTTCAATCTTTTTCTCGGACTAATTTATTTGCTTTGTGAGCCTTACACAAATCTCGTTCTCTTTCCTTATTTACTGCTTCCTTTTCTCTATATGTGTCTTATTTAACATTAATTATTTATGCATAATTAAAAAACGTTAGGCATATAATTTAAAGCATTTCTGTGTATGTGTGTGTGTCTCTTCTTCTTCTATTTGTATTACAAAAATATAATAATTACAACGGAATCGGGTCGACGACTGTGCAGCTTAACTTGTTAAATACATTTAATTACATTGCTAAAGTGGATTTGGCAAAGAATGGAAAAGGGGGAGACTAAGAATCTCTTTTTAGAATCAAATGCGCTCTAAGTTTGTTTGTTTTTAAATTTTTCTTCTCATTTCCTTTACTTTTTTTTTTGTAATTCTCTAATGTAATGCTCGAATCGAATTAAATGTAGCTTACGGCCTACGAGTAATTCAATTACATTTAGTAGTTGACGCCGACTGTGACGACGGCTGCGCGCTTGAATTCAAATTTCAAATTTACTGAGTGCGTGTGTGTATCCGGATATACATATACATACATACATATATATATAGTATATATATATATGTACATATATTTATATATAGTTGTGTATATATATTTATAATATCTAGATCAAGTAGCGCCCGCCTAGTAACTGGCCTCGTGTCCGGCCAAGATGTACAGATCGTGCCCCTCCTCGCTGCCCAGCGAGCCGGTGCGCACAAGTTGACTCTCCAATGCGACGACCCTGAGAAAAAAAGCAGCGTTACACATACATATATTTTTACATCACATTCATATTGCCACTTACTTATCGCTGCCCAGCAGCCGATAGGTGCGACTCATGTCCTTAATCTCCTGCGTCACTTCGCCGTTGCGCAGAGACTTGCCCTGCATGCCGTGCTTGTGGAATGCTAATACACTGTCCGGTAGACAAACTACAGAAGAGAGAGAGGGAGAGGGAGAGTAGACATCCATTAGTACAAGAGAGTGGGAGAGAGAGTGGGCGTGCGACCCACCAATACTGTCCACGTTAAAGTCAAAGTTGAGTTGAGCAACCATCTTCTTGTGCTGCTTGGGATTGCCCTGGAGCGTGACCACCTGCATCACATTGCCATAGCAGACGAGAATGGCGTCCTTCTCCACTTGATGCACACGCACCACCTTCAGCAGATCGCGCCGTGGCACCATCGTGGCCATCGCATCATACTCCAAGTCCTCCGAATGGAACCAGCTGGCGCCTGCAGTACGGAAAGCAAAATATTAGTCAGATTCGGATCTAGATGCAGTTGGGCCAACTTCCACTGTTCATGTTGATCAGATCCAGCTTGAGGCAGCCGTTGAGCGCCTTGCGCACGCCCGTGCACACAATCGGATACTCCAGCTCCGGCGTGATGATCATCTCGAAGATGGGCGTCTGTCCGTTCTGGACGCAGCCCTGGCCCAGTATGCTGGTGGCCGGCCACTCGCACTGCTTGAGCAGCATGAATTTGTTGAGCGGATCGTACCACTGCATCAGAAAGATGCCGCTCGGCGTGGCGCCGCACAGATATTTGTAGCCGTTGTAGGGATTACGTGTCACGCAGCACTGGGTGCAGCCCTTCGTGTCCGGCACTTTGGTGGTTAGCGCAAATTTACGCGGCACCAGCCGCTCGGGTATCTTGTTCATGTGCAGCGAGAAGCGCACCGTCTGCTTGGAGTGCAGGGCGACCAGATCGTGCCGGTAGAGCTGGCACGATTTGCCGGACAGGCTCATCAGCACATCCTTGATCACATACAGCCAGGTGGTGCGGCGCGGAAACAGCTGATCGATGGCCGCATCGTGCAGCTCGTTCATATTGAGGTTATAGATGCCCTCCTCGGCCCCGATCAGCAGATGCTGATCCCGTGTCTCCGGGTGTATCCAGGAGGCGGTGCAGTGCACGCGCAGCGGACAACCGTTGAAGATTTTGGAAAAGCAGGCGCCCATGTGCACCTTGGGCGTCGGTGGCAGCCCGTTCGAAATGGGCCGCGGCGGCGTGTGGCGACGTCGATGCGAGCGCTTGGGCGGCACAGGTGGCGTATTGTTCAACAGATCCGGTTGCGCTTCCTTTTCAACTGTGTGGGTGGGGGGAGGGCGAGATAGTGGGCGTGGTTAGTCAGAGATAGAGACAGATAGATTCAATGGCAACGCTACCTTCATCATCGTCCTGTGTGCCGCCATCGCTGAGGCTGCGCGTGCGCGACGTTTTGCCCAGATCGTTGAGCAGACCGATTAGCTGATCCATGGAGCTGTGACGTCTTGGTGAGTCCTCAATGCCATTCTGCAAATGGAGGAGCATTAGTATTGGGTTTGCTTGCACCACTTGCCACTCCTGGCACCACTCACCTGGTTGCTCTCGCTTCGGTAATCACAGTTGTTGCTGTTCTCGCCGCTGGCCGCGTCCCCTTGGGCCAGGTCTAGCACGTCCGAGCTGCTGCTGCGCAACAGATTCTCATAGAGATGCGCTACCCTGTCGGAGGTGAGGCCAGGCGCAGCTGCAGCAGCAGCAGCAGTGGATGCAGTCGAAGCTTGTGCTGCTGCCGACGCCGACGCCGCCGCCGCTGCTGCTGCTGCTGCCGCTGCTGAGCTGGTCGAGGCGCTGTTGGAATGCGAGAAGCCATCGCCGACAGAGTGTGTGCCAGCCGGAGGCGTGGCAGCTGTCTCATGCCTCATATCCAGCCCATTGCTGCCTTTGCCGCTGCTGCTGCTGCCGCCGCCGCCGACGCCGCCGACTGCATCGCCGCTGGAATTATCGAGGAGTAGGAAGCGATTATAAAAGGATGCGGATGACGTTGCTGCTGTTGTGGTGCTGCTGTTTGCCAGCGATGATGATGAGAGCAAGCCATGGTCGTGGCCATGCAATGCCTGAGCGGCAGATGAAACTGCCGCCGCCGCCGAGCGATAGTTGCTGCTGTGCCGCAAATAATGCGCAGCGGAGGCGGAGCAACCAGCGCCCGTTGCTGATGTCGATGCAGATGCAGCCACAGATGCTAAACCCGAGGCATAGCCACCAGCAGCAGCAGCCGCAGCAGCGGCAGCAGGAGTAGCCGATGCATTATTCATGGCAATGTCAACGTCCAGATTGATGTCGCCATCGTCGTCGTCGCCAATGCTGGTGGTGCGCAAATTGGACATGCCCAGATAGGCGCTCAGTCCCGGCATGGAGGCCAGCGAGGCGGACATGCTCAAGGCATTCAAATTTGAATTGTAATTTGAATTCTGGTTCAGATTCGGATTCGGATTCTGATTGGCGTTGCAGTTGACGCTGCTGGTGCTGTTGGACGTGGTGGACAGTGCGTTGTTTGATAGCTGGTTTAGGTGCTGATGGTGGTTGTGGATGTGGTTCTGGTTCTGGATGTGGTTGTGGTGGTTGTGCTGAGTGGTGCTGGTGCCGTTGCCAGTGGCACTGGTCTGATGATGATGATGCTGATGATGATGATGGTGGTGGTAATGATGGCCGCCACAGTTGTTGCTGATGCCGCTGACGCCGCCGCTGACACCGCTGAGGCCACCACCAACGCTGCTGCTGATGATGCTGCCGCCGCTGCCGCTACCGCCGCCGCTGCTGCCACCGATTCCGCCTCCGCCTGCAACGCAGCAGCCCCCATTTGTTGATGCAATGCCCCCGCTGCCGCCGCCGCCACCGCCGCCTCCAGCGCTGCAGCTATACTCGGCACTGAGTGCCGAATCTTTGGTGTCGTTCAATGGCAAAGTTGCTCTAAGAGCAGCAACCCAGCGAACAGCGAGCGAGCGAGCGAGACAGATATATATAGAGATATAGAGAAAGATAGGAAGAGAGAGAGAGAGAGAGAGACGCGTTGGAAGAGAAAGAAAAAGAAAGCCAAAGTGTTTGAGCTTCTTTGTTGATAACACGCACAACATCATTCACTTGTTGGCCAGACCCGCTCCAAGCTAAGCAAGGAGGAGCTGCACCATTTTGTGTACGTGTGGTGGCTGGTGGTGTGGGTGGTGTTTTTGTGGTGTGCAACTCTAAACTGGACAAGTGGGTGGGCGGACTGGTTGTGTGCGGGGTTGAGTTAGACGTGTTACAACATGCCCCAAACCCAGACAAGTTAATGCTGCGTGGGTGTGTGTGTGTGTGTATTAGTATTGCCTCCTGCTCTACTTGTTGTTGTTGTTGTTGTTAGTGTGCAAAACATGCATTGACAACGCGTAAATGAAGGACATAAATAGGACTTGGGCTGCTTGCAACTTTAATTGATGAACTGTCGCCCGACCACGCCCCTCGTGCCCTCGACTAAATAAATAAATTAATGCAATGGCCATAAATTATGCATGAGCTGTAAAACTGTTTACAAAAACAAAAATACGCACACACACACACACACATACATACATATAGAGAAATGCCTTGCACATGAATGCACAGAAAATAGAAAAATATAACAAATAAATACAAAAGAAGAGGGGAGAGAGAGAGAGAGACAGAGAGAGGGAGAGAGAGAGAGAGAGAGAGAGAGGAAGAGAGATGAGAGAGAGAGAGAAAGAGAGAGAGGGAGTGGGAGTAGGAGGTAGTGGGTGATAGAGAGTAGACGGACACACACACATACATACATACATATAGGGAAGAGCGGACCATAAGAGACATACACACACACACCCATACATATATACACCCTTCGACACACCCACACACATGCATGGCAGCAAATGACAGAAAATTAATTCTTGAATTCTTAACAAAAACAAAAATATCCAGCAAATTTTCCAAATAAACCTTATTTTATATGCAGGCAGCAAATGCAGCCAAAGAAAAGCAAAACACAAAACAAACAGGGAAAACCAAAAAGAAAATTACATGAGGCAAGTGAAAAATCTCAGCTGCTGCTGCTGCAGGAAAGCACACACACACACTCACACTCTCACTTTCTGCCCCTCTCCCCTCCCCCTCGCTGTGTGAAAACTGAGCTCTGTTCAATTTGAAATTAGTTTTTTGGGCAAACGCTCTTCCTGTCCAATTTGCTGCCGTTAAAGGCTCCGACTGTAAACATGTTCAACAGCTCAATTCATCAATTCTTCAATTAGTTGGCTGTGTGTGTGTGTGTGTGTGTGTGTGTGTGTGTTTGTGTGTGTCAGTGTGTGTTTCAGCTGGCCATTGCTTATTTACCAAAATGGCAAATTTACGCTTGTGCGCATATTTTAACAAGCTTTCAGAGCGAGATAGAGACAGAGAGAGAGATAGAGGGAGATAGAGGGAGCTAGAGTATAGCTGCCCAAACATAATTACACGTTTACCAATGTCTATTTGCTTTTTCAGCTTTCTTTCGTCTTTCGGCAAATAGAAATTGAATTCCGTAATATTGTGCAATCAAAATATATACAGAAGGCCTCACTGGCATTGGTAAGTAGGCAACGGCCATCACAGTAATAACCATAATAATAACTATAAAAGCAATGTGCGGACAAACATCACATAAATAAACACTAAAAAAAAGGGTGAAAAAAAGGGTCTTTGGCTCTGTGTGACCTTTCGACAAGTCGAACTGTTTAGTTATGCTGCTCTACGATCTCATCGCGCCATGAATTAGTTAAGATTTGTCAGCCCGTATCGACAGTCGTATACGTGGCGTATGCGTAATATATTGTGATGCATAGACCCAGGCGAAGCAGGGCAAGGCAGTATATTACGTATACGCAGCGAAGAACTTTTAGCAGACAGACAATGCCCAGGACAAAGACGAAGTAGGAACAATAGAAAGAGGAAGACAGAGAGAGAGAGAGAGCGCGCAAGAGAGGGAGAGACGACGCTGAAGACTGTAGAAAGTTGCAAAGAAAACAAACAGTAAATTAATAGAACCAAATGAAAGTTGAACGAAAAACAGGTGAGGAAAATGCATGAAAAAAAAAAGAACTCTGCCAGAGTTGATAATGAGTTAGAGAGTGAGAGGGGAGAGAGAGAGAGGGAGCGGGGGAGAGTGAGTGAACTCTAAAGAGACTTGGTGTATCCAAGTGTAAGTGTACGAAACTTTAGCCGTTAGTTGAGCTGTATATCTTAAAGTCTACTATATATATGTATTATGTATACGGTATATATATATATTGTGGTATATAGGTATGTGTGTTACTTTGCGGGTTTGTTGGGGCTTGTGTTTGTTAAGTGTGTTCTTAGCTAAATTACCCAACTAAAACTAAGTTTTATTTTATAGTTTTTTTTTGTTTTTTTTGTAAAACATTTCGCAAAAAGAAATTATTGGTGTAGTTACCTTAACTTTAGTTCCTCATCAATATATTGTAAGAGGCTCCTACAAAAATCAAACACAAAAGAAATATACGAAAAAAAAGAAAATGTATAATCAAAGAAAAATCGTTGTTAAGTTTCCATTGTGCAGGAAAAAACAAAAAATCAAAATACAAAACACAAAAATAGACCAAAAAAACAAATTATTAAAAATAGTTAAGCAACAGTTGTAAAATAGTTTTAATCCAAATTAAATGAAGTTCGACTCCCGTAGAATGGCAGAAAAAAAAAAAAAAAAAACAACAAACGAAACGAGAAACAGCGAAACTCGTAACAAAATTTGAATAAATTGAAATTTGTAGTTTTTCAATGTTTTCAAATGTTTGTGCTTATGTAACTGTCTCAAATGTCAGATGCTGCTGGTAACGGTAAAGCTGTAAGGCTAGCAGATGCAGGGCTAGCAAATGCTGTTATGGCCAATTAAACGCATTAGCCAATTTTCAAAGAGCCATAATTTGTTTGAATAACACATTTTCCAGCACTTCAATCAAGGATTACCCCAGCAAAATACAAAATACAAAAAGAAAAAAATTAAAAATTGCCTTATTAAAAAGCGGCAAAGGCACAAAACAAAGGAGAGCAAAAAAAAAAAAACAAGTAAGAAAGCTCTAGTCGAGACAGCTCGACTACGAGATCCCCTGAACCCTACAAGCAACTGATATTTCAATAATAATTAGCAAACACACACACGCATACAAACAAACACACGCACACACACGCATACAAACAAACACA